CCACACTTTTGTTGAATGTGGCCTTCCCCGAGGCAGCGTGTGCTCTGGAAGTGCTTGTCTGCAACAGGGATCACCTCTTTGCAAGAGAGGCACTGCTTGAAGCCTGGTGAACTGGGCATAACCAGTTGGGGGAAGGGTCCCCAACGAGGAAAATAACAGAAAAAAAATAAAGTCTCTTTTTTTTTTTTTAGGGAGAAAAGATAAGAAAAGAGAAAAAAACTACAACTAGAACTACAACTAAGTACTATGAGGCTAACTATAGAAATGCAAAATGAAAAGTAATGGTCCTAACGGACTTCAAATAGCTCTGTCTCTAGCCAGGGGCAGCTGAGAAGAAACTGAGGGGGGTTAACCCATGCGCACTGAATAGCCTCGTGGTGCAGCACAAGTAGAGACAGGGCATGTGCGGGCCTAAAGGACACTGATCCGATCAGCAGCGCAGGGATGCTAGCACAGCTACAGTGTATCACCCATAGGGACACGACTCAAAGAAGAAAAAGAAGTTTATCTTACTGATGGGAAACTGAGAGGTAAAATGACTTGCCCAAGGTTACCCAGCAGGCCAGTGGCAGAGCTAGGAACAGAACCCAGGTCTCCAGAGTCTCAGTATAGTGTTCTATCCAGTGGGCCTTATATATTAAACTAATTTTGTTTTTAAAATGTTCATAATTTTACAGGACTTTTAGAAATTCATCTTCCATTATGTCCTCTTTTAATTACCTAGAATATAAATATTATAAAAAGGGGGACATTGTTTGATGAAGATTTTAATAGCATGAGTCTTGGGTAAAACCAGATGATTTATGGTCTATTAGTCATCCGTTACAAAATACCATATATTTAAAAGTGTTTAAGAATTTTTAAGCACCATTGCCTAGCATCTGGAATCTTTACAAAAATATTAAATCATGGAAATCAGACACCAAGCTAACCAAAAAGGGTAGCTTAAAACTACAAACACTGTTGTCAGGACCAGGAAATATCTGCAACCAAATTGCCCTCACTCTTTCAAACAGATATTAAGTTCACTGAAAGCCTGACCAAGTAAGCATGGTTTCCATCATGACCTGAGTGAAGGCTGCCAAATTGGGGTCTGGCATCTCACCAGAGGAGCGAGTTGCATAAGAGAAGGCCCCACACTGGGAAAGTGCTCGTTCTGGTCATGGAACTTTGGTCTTTGGAACAGACAACAAGAGTATCCTTCACTCATACTTCTCCACCTGTCAAGGGTCATGCGTGGCAAAGACCCAAAATAAACATAAGACAAAAAAGTATTATTCATGCAGGAAAATTAAAATGTGGTGGGATTCCTTTGTTCAGCATAAATAGCTCTTCCTGTAATCTTTGTTCCATTCATTTTTATTTCTGATGCAAAGGAGTTTCAAAAGTAAAAATGATGGGACACCGAATTTGTGTGAAATGTAGGGAATTTGGGACTAACGAGTGATATCCTTTGAAATTAAGTAAATATGAATGGTGTGTTTACAATATATTTGATCTTGCTGCAAGGGCACATACTGTGAGAGATGAATTCTTAGGTTCAGGGGTGAAATTCTAGCCCCATTAAAGTCAATGACAAAAACGCCATTGACATCAATGGACCCAGGATTTCACCCCTGAGGTTTAAGACACGCAGATATCTAGAAGAATCATAACACACTGTCATGTGTTGTTATCTATAGATAGTTCCCTGCCCCATCTAATGTGGACAAGGCCTGAGCAGATTAAAAAGGGACAATTAAATTTATATGCTTCACCTGGAGGAGAGCCAGGGACAGATAAAGTCTAACTGAAAATGAAGCCCAGCTGGGCAGGGGCAAGCTGGACTTGTACAAAGCCAGGAAGTTGAGAGCGAGAGGCAGATCAGGGATGAGCTCTGTGATCACTGTTTAGCGAGAAAGGGAATTGGCCACGGACCAGGAGGAGTTCTAGGAGGAAAGTAAGCCCTGGGATCCTACCCTGAACTACAGAGTCAGGCAAGAAACCAAGCGTGGTGGAGTAGCCACTGGGAGGAAAGGAAGCTCAAGTTGGCAAATTCAGAAATGAGCCAGGAGATAGAGAAGTGAGGTAGGAAGGAACCCAGGGAAATAGCAACAGGGTCTGAGATTGACTAGACGGTGGTTGCTAGGCATAAGGTCCCTCAGCTGGAACCCGGAGTAATGGGTGGGTCTGGGTTACTCTGCCAGCCACTGGGAAAGTGGCCCTGGACCTGGACTTAGACCAGAAAACTGCCTGGCATGGCATATGGATGGCTTGTCTAGTGGGATTTTGACCCCCAGAAGGGGAGCCTAACTAGTGACTTAGTCCTCTGGGCAGGTCATGAAGAGGGAGCACCCCAAGTCCCAGAAAGAGAGAAAGCCCATGAAGTGAGAAACCAATAGAAAGGAGGACCAGATCAGGCAAGAGCTGATCCCCAGATCCAGTCACAAGTTGTCCCAGTAGTGAGTGAACCCTGTTACAACAATATTTAAATACCATTTTAATCTTTACATCATACAACATTCCCTATTAGTGATTGTTATATTCATTATCAGCCTACCTGAAGCCATATATACATTACTACAGCAACATAACTATGAGAAAGCTCTGTGGTTGTTTTCACACTGGTGCATCTTTTGAATTACCTTATCTGAGAAATATCACCTGAAAGATATGGTATATGTAGGTTGGAATATTTCTGTTTATAGCATCATTAAAGTGACACTATATTTTGTCAATGTCTAGAGAAAACTCCAATGGAAAAATGCATGTAGAAATCTTTCCATTATGTGCTTGTGTTTAAGAGCAAGATTTACTTTAAGATTTAATACTAGCGAGTGACATGAACTGAAGAAACTATAATAGCAATATTTTTTGACAAAGTAATAGTTGATCATTGTTATGTCGCATTGTAAATGACTAGAAGCAAATCAGATTTGTCTGTTGAATGCACAAAGCAATATAGTTACTGCAGATGATACTCTCATACAGCACCTGCTGCTATAAAATGTATATCTGCAGTGAGGCCTTTAAAGTTAACTAGTACATACAAGAAAAAAATCCAACTGATTATTTTCAGAGATGATCTTACTTTCACATAAATGAGTTTAATTATATAAACTATGTTATGGAATCTTTAAATAGTAACACATGATCTGGTTTCTGCTTCGCTCACATTCTCAGTAAGAACTGACTTGTGTGCCTTGCACCACTATTTAAGACTCAAGCAATCTCCATTTTTGTTAAAGAGCTAGTTAAAAAGTTAAGTTGTTCTTCTCCCCTTCCTCTTTGATTTTCCATATGCTCTTAGCACTGCTGCCTGTGACTATAGGCTATCTTCTGGCTATTTTCCTCTTGCGGGTTTTGGTCTCTGTGTATAAGTGTGGGTCCAGACTGAACCAAAATACCAAAGAATGTCCATATTCTGGCTTTAAATGGGAAATGTGGGCTTGGGGAGTTGGCTAGCTCCATTTGAACTCAAATCACGTCCAAAGAAATTAGATTTTGAAAAATTTCCTTTAACCTAACTCAAGTCCCTGAGGGCAGGTTGAGTCCCAAAAATCCTTTTGTATCCATCTATCACTTCTATATCATGCTTATCACCACAGTATCTGAATTCTGGCCATAATGCTGCAGTGTCGGGTTAACCTGAACTAGTACCTGGGTTTTAATCTAGGAGCTGGCCTGATTTGCCCTTCTCTCAGTCCAGTTCAAGTTCTAGTTTTGCAATGCCCCCCCCAAATTCAGAAGAGTTTTGTCTTAATTTTATTTAAATTCAGTTGTCCAGAAGTGACATCACTACATCATCTAGCTCCCCAGTGTTCCTATAGTTAATCCTATAGTGATTACTGATGACCACTACATAGTCAAAGTGGTTAGCATTAGTAAGTTCCATTGAAGGTATGCTGTACTTCACACTTTCATTTAACCCTTTAAACAGAAGTACACTTAAAAAGTGCAAGCTTGAAGCACACAAACATGGTAATACTGGTCAAGCTGCTCTTCCAGTAATTCACCCCATCCCTTGTTTCTGGGATAAAGTAAGTAGCACATTTTTTTACATTTAAAAATAAGTTTCAAATGCCTTTTGCCAAGATGTAGCCCAGCCAAGATCAAAATCTTTTTCAGGAACCAGCAGCCACCAGCCTCTCAGTCAACACAGGTAACTGCCATTGGTGTCAAGGTACTATCATACTGCCCTCAATCCACAGTGGTTGTCCTAAATTTGACTAAATCCTATAAGTAAAATGTATGCTCTTCAGGGCAGAGACTGTCTTCAATTGTTTTCTTATATAATGCTGACCACATAGTTAACGTCTAACAAAGAAATAATTAATAAAAGTAATAATAATAATTAGTAATAATGATCTGAACCTAAAAGGCATTTTGGAAAAAAACAAATATTGAAATTTGAGTATTAGGTTCTGAACATGCCCAGGATTAAACTTGTTATTTTTCAGTTCTGATTATTTTTATACAGTAAATTCCTCTTAAAGTACCAGTATTTACTTGAATGAAAGTGAGTACCCTTCCCACTAGGAAACTAAATATAAAATGACAAACAAATAGAAGGCAATTCTGAGTGAAGGCTGTCACTCTATTGTGCCTGCCTACCTTACTGCTGCAAACATGGCCCTCTAGCTCAGTGGTTCTCAAACTTTTGTACTGGTGACCCCTTTCACATAGCAAGCCACAGAGTGTGACCCCCCTTATAAATGAAAAAACTCTTTTTTATATATTTAACACCATTATAAATGCTGGAGGCAAAGCGGGGTTTCGGGTGGAGGTTGACAGCTCACAACCCCCCATGTAATAACCTCGCGATCCCCTGAGGGGTCCCAACCCCCAGTTTGAGAACCCCTAATCTAGCTAGTTCTATCAGATTTTACATACTGTTCCATACACGTTGCAACACAGGCACAAATGAGGCAAATTAACAAAGGAAGTCACAAAAAGCAATAATCAAGTTATGAGGTTGCAATGCTAAAAAATGTCTCTAAAGAAAACAATATGACTCTTACCTATTCATTAGCTCTTGAAAAGTTCCATTTGGTAATGGAAATATAAAGCCATTTATGACTGACTTTAAGTAATCCAAAGACACAAATCCACTCTGACTGACATCAAATGCTCTGAAGGCTTTTTCAATGTCCTGATAGGTTGAGTACAGCTGAAATGAATACAATTTACAGTGTTTTGTTCAGAAAAATCAAGCTCATGAAGTTTTTAAAACAATAATGTATTTTTTTACAAGATCTTTTCAAATGTTCTTCTCTGTAAACTGATCAAATAGTTACCATGGCAAGCTCTGTCAGATGTTTAATTAATATGCTCACTACAAAACAGTATTGCCCAATCACAGAGACTCAAGTGACAAGGCAGACAAGTTTCTCACAGAAAGATAGCACATATAATAACTCTACCTCAAAATTCAGGGCTAAAAATATTGGTGGATCTGCCTGCTTGATACATCTGTTTTAATATACTTTTAAAGACAACCCTATTGTAACTCAGTACCAAGCTCCTCTTTATTAAAATGGATCATAATGAATGCTAGAAGAAATGTTATAAGAAACAGAATGGTTAATATACATATTATATAAACATATTGCACATTTCTTTGGTTATTCTTTTAGTTCATGGGCTGTTGCATAGAAACTAGGGGAGTGTGGTTTTGCTTATGGGACTTACTGCAAATTTCAGTAAGGATAATAAAACAGCAGGAAGATTGGTTTTATTCACCAAAAGTTCAGTCAGTACTGTGTGTTGAATAGTACAAACATTCCTGGGGCTTTCCATCACCCTTTTTGGTGCTTTACCCTACCTTTTTCTAATCTGTTTACTGCTAAATGAAAACTGCAGACATCACAGGGCAGAGATAATGTATGGAGAGACTTCAGGAAGTCCAAAATAAATATCATGGGCTGATAGGGTTTACAGGGCGATGAGATGTACCCAGCCACCAACCCAGGCATCAATCTGTGTGGCTCAGGAGGACCTACTCTGACTTCAGAATCAAGAACTAAAGGGGAAAGAAGGTCAGGTGATGTCCCTGCAGCCTTAGTGCCTGCTGACCTCCAGCCTGCTAGAACTCTCCAATCACTTCAAGGCTGAGGAAGTACAGTTATAGGCTTGCATAGCTGGATTTGTACTAAAACACTAACTCTGGTCCATAGTCCCGTCCCCTTACTTTCACTATAGCCTTCTGAGAGCGGAGAGAGGTTCTTGAGGTTAAAGGACAGAACTGACTCTCAGAAGATTTGGATTCTATTCCTCTATCCACAAAATAGGTAGAACATATGTATGGAAGTGGCAGTGCAAGATCCCCCATGTTGTCCCTCTACCATGCTCTGGAAGGATCCCCTCAAGGCATAAGGAGTTAATTCCTTCTCCATGCCCATTCGACCCTTAACCTCTGTGTTCAAACTTCCCACATGGGTGCCATTTATGAGCGTCACACATATTGAACTAGGGACTGCACTTAGGCCACTAGCTTATTTCATGTAGTTCATGAAATAATTGCCAAATGATGACAACTTTTAATCATTCCTGAGCTGGGTTGGGATTCAGGCAAGCGATCTAGCAGTGAGAAGTGATAGATTCATGTATGATTTGCCTGACCCATCCAGTTTCAGTATTTTTATTTTGTTTTCATCTAGAAAAGTGGTGTTTTCCTAGGTATTTATATACATTTTTTAAAGCTATGAACCTGACAAACAAGATATGAGACCTTTAGAAAGTGCGATAAAAACAAAACTGCCATTTCTATTAAGGGCTTTTTAAAAAAACAACACAATTATTATTAATTTGTATGTTGAACACCAAAACTTTCTGTGTAATCTCCTTTCTGTGTGACACCTGGCTCAATCCCTCCATATTTCAGAGTATTCAGACACATTAAGGACTCTCTTACCTTTTTCCTAAAAGCCATCTCAATGTCATCTAGTGTGCATTCTATCAAACTACCCTCAGCTGTTGAAGTCTGTAGTGACAGCTTATTCTGTTTTGGCATCTTATCCTGTGTCTCCTCCCAGTTCGGTGCTGGTAAGGAAAACTTAATTTTAGCAAAGTCACTGCTAGTGGCATCTTCAAAGAAATAAAAGTAACTGGATTTCTTTTTGAAGAACATTTCTTGTTAAATCATTAGAGAAGTCTTTATGTAAAATATTAAGATAAGTCCAAAATACAACTGATTTGTATTTCTCAGACTGGATTTCTAGGGAAGAATAATAGGCACAAAGCTTAGCATTTATAATAGTGCTTTTTATGTTCACTTTTCTTTAGGAGAATTAATTCATGTAGCATACAATCTTAACAAATACTCTTATTTGCATGTAATATCACAGAGTATTCTGATAGTTTTATCTCTTTACCAATATTGTTACAGAGCAATTAGGCCCTTGAAAACACATTTTCAGTATATGGATGACAACCCACCCACAGATCTCGGACAGCAAACATGCCTGCTAACTTTGAAAGACACTGGTTTCTCTTGACTGCTCCCTTTGTTTCTTTCACATATTCCTAAATTTGTGCTCTTTCATATTGCCCATAGACCTTGAAAGAGCCTTTAGTTAATATATGCCAAGTGCCCTCCCCATCAAAAAACTTTCCTGTGAAGCATTCGAGCTAGAACAATCACCATCCCACTTTGTGCTTTCTCTGAACTGTATTGTACTCTATATTATCCACACTGTGCTTTTAGAATGTAAATTCTTCAAGGCAAGAGCTCTGCTATATGTCTGGCATATTTTGATCATTGTATAGCACCAAGTGTGATCACTGTGCTAGACATGGCCCAGATTCTGACACCCCTTCTCACACTGAGTAGCATCTTACTCCTGGAGTACTCCATTTCAATAGGACAACTCATGAAGTAAGGTGCTTTTCAACATGAGCAAAAGTATCAGAATCTGGCCATAAATAAATAAAAGTGACAATTGTTAATACTTGTGTAATGCTTTTCATCAGTAGGCCTGGTCAACTCACAAAGTCGCACCTGATTAACCAAGGGCATGTTTTTAAATCGATTTAATTAAACTGGTGCAAAAATTTATGTGAGCCCTCTTAATTCAATTTAAAGCAGGCTTATATCAGTTTTTCTTGTGAGGTAGGTGATATAAACCAGTTTTGAACCAGTGGAAGTGCCCACAAGGCTTAACTAAATTTTGTTTAAACCTTTTAAAACTGGTTTAGCTAAATCAATTTTTACATTATCTGTGTGTAGACAAGGCCTTGAGTCTCAAAGCACTTTACAAAGGGGCTAAGTATATTTATCCACATGTTAGAGATGGGGAACCTGACAAACAGAAGTTAAGTTCCTTGTCAAATATCACCCAGTGAGTCAGTGTGGTAAAGAGGTGTTTAAGAAACAGGTTAAAGGGGAGACTACAACCGGTCATACTGAAAGGTGAACTGTCAGGCTGTAGGGAGGTTACTAGTGGAGTTCCTCAGGGATCTGTCTTGGGACCAATCTTATTTAACATTTTCCTTAATGACCTGGGCACAATAAGTGGGAGTGTGCTAATAAAATCTGAAGATGACACAAAGTTGGGAGGTTTTCCCAATACAGAGGAGGACCAAAATATCATACAAGAAAATCTGGATGACCTTGAAAACTGGAGTAATAGAAACAGATGAAATTTAATAGTACAAAGCGCAAGGTCATGCACTTAGGAATTAATAATAAGACCTTTTGCTATCAGCTGTGGACACATCAGTTGGAAGCGACAGAGGAGGAGAAAGGCTTGGATGTAATGTATGGGTCAATCACAGGATGACTATGAGTTGCCAACATGATGCAGCAGTGAAAAAGACTAATGCAATCTGAGGATGCATCAGGCGAGGTATTTCCAGTAGAGACAGGGAAGTGTTATTATCATTGTACGAGGCACTGGTGAGACCTCATTTGTAATAGTGTATGCAATTCTGGTCTCCCATGTTTAAGAAAGATGAATCCAAATTGGAACAGGTGCAAAGGAGGGCTACTAGGAAGATCAGCGGAATGGAGACACTACCTTACGAGAGGTGACTTAAGGAGCTTGACTTGTTTAGCCTAACAAAACAAAGACTGAGGGAAGATATGATTGCTGTCTATAAAGACATCAGAAGGACATACACGAGGGAGGGAGCGAACTTATTTAAGTTAAGGGCCAATGTGGACACAAGAACAAATGGATACAAACTGACCATCAATAAGTTTAGGCTTGAAGTTAGACAAAGGTTTCTAACCACTGGAGGAGTGAAATCCTGGAACAGCCTTCCAAGGAGAGTAGAGGAGACAAAAAACCCAACCTGTTTCAAGGCTGAGCTTGATAAGTTTATGGAGGAGATGGTTTGATGAGTTTATCTACAATGGGATATGGCCCATCTGTGACTGTTAGTAGCAAATATCTCCAATGGCTGTAGATGGGATGCTAGATGGGGAGGGCTCTGCGTTACTACAGAGAATTTTCCCAGATGTCTGGCTGGTGCATCTTGCCCACATGCCCAGGTTCTAAATGATCACATTTGAGGTTGGAAAGGAATTTTCCCCCAGCTCAGATTAGCTGGGGGGTTTTCACTTTCCTCTGCAGCATGGGACACAGATCACTTGCTGATCTGAACTAGAGTAAATGGTGCATTCTCTGTAACGTCAAGTCTTTAAATCAAGATTTGAGAACTTCAGTAACTCAGCCAGAGGTGACTGACCTATTACAGGAATGGGTGGGTGTGGTTCTTGGCCTGCAGTATGCAGGAGCTCAGACTTGATGATCATGATGGTCCCTTCTGGCCTTAACGTCCGTGAATGACAGAGTGGTAGGTGAAAACCCAAGTCTCCTGACTCACAGACTTGTGCATTATCCATTGGCCCATCTTCTTCCCTAATAATAGTAGGATTTTGTGAGCTTGCCCATTCGAGTTCCCCTGTTGCTGTATAAAACCATCATATAATAGGAGGAGCTGTGGAGCAAACAGCCTGATGACACTGCCCAGCAGAATTTCAATTTGGAGGTGAATTGCAATCCTCTATCAGTATAGAGCTAAACAGACCAGAGGAATCTCTGCCTTAGTAAGAGTACTACGCATTTTTTCAGGATTCAGATATAGATACATAGTATAGCATTATCACGTGTGATAATAATTCTGATTCTATTGAGAGCCTCTTGCAAGGTGTGTGATATGCTCAACTGACTTCAGTGGTAGTTGAGGGTGTTCAGCTACTTTCAGGATCAGGCCCAATTTAATTAACCACTCCAGTGCACCATCTTCAATGTCTCTTCTCTCACTACATCCACCCTTCTCCTCCTTTTATCTTTCTAGCTCACTCATTCTGATCTCTACCCTAAATACTGCCCTCTGTTTACTAGCTGAATGGGTTTATCTACGATAATTGTTCACATTTACAACTTTTGTTGATCAAAGCAGAGTGGGATTTGACTTTGGAGCAACAGCTTTGGTTATGATGTCAGTTGGCCACACTATGTAAAAAACCAAGTGCTTAGCAGCTGTGGTTATTTTACCAATTATTTCCTAAGCTATCTTGTTTTGTAATATTTCATAAACTTTACATCATTCTGTGTACACACAACCCTGTTTCAGAATGAAGAGGGGAAAAGTACAATTAAATAAAAAAGATTCTAATGGTATGATTTTCAGAAGTGCTGAGCATTCACTGAAGTCAATGGGAACAGCCAGTACTGTACTCAGCACCTTTGAAAATCAGGCCATTCATTTAATGTTGTTTTAGAAATAAGTCCCACTACCCAATGGAAGACTTTTTGTCAGGCAGTGGATCAGTTCAGTACTATGACTGTTGGCTAGTGTGACAAAGTTCCTCCTCTATCTTGGTGGGTCCTGTGCTTATTGGCGGATTTTCTTGCCTCAGAGATTCACCATGTGGGTTGGGGAACAGCCCAGAGACCTTCCCCTCTGGAAGAACCCACAGTCCAGGTCAATTGGGAGGTTTTGGGGGGAATCTGGGCCCGCCCTCTACTCCGGGTTCCAGCCCAGGGCCCTGTGGACTGCAGCTGTCTATAGTGCCTCCTGTAACAGCTGCATGACAGCTACAATTCCCTGGGCTACTTCCCCATGGCCTCCTCCAAACACCTTCCTTATTCTCACCACAGGACCTTCCTCCTGGTGTCTGACAACGCTTGTGCTCCTCAGTCCTCCAGCAGCACACCCTCTCACTCTCAGCTCCTTGTGCCTCTTGCTCCCAGCTCCTCACACTCGCACCACAAACTGAAGTGAGCTCCTTTTAAAAACCCAGGTGCCCTGATTAGCCTGCCTTAATTGATTCTAGCAGCTTCTTCTTAATTGGCTTCAGATGTCCTAATTAGCCTGCCTGCCTTAACTGGTTCTAGCAGGTTCCTGATTACTCTAGTGCAGCCCCTGCTCTGGTCACTCAGGGAACAGAAAACTACTCATCCAGTGACCAGTATATTTGCCCTCTACCAGACTCCTGTACCCCACGGGTCTGGGTCTGTCACACCAGGCTTTTCTAGACAACTGTGAAAGGTTAATTTGTTCTTTTGTGACTCTTTGTGAAGTATTAAGTCTGAATAGTAGAAATGAAAGGGGCAATGTTTCAAGTTGGTAGGCTCAAAATTTAGCTTACGGTCTTTTCTTCGGGTTGCAAAGTCTGTGTAATTCTTTATTGGCTTTTCCCCCCCGGTATAACGTTTAAATGCTATTTTTTTTTAAACAAAGAGAAATGAAAACTCACTTGGCAGAAAGGCCAGCACTTGCAAGTAACCCTACAACAACAAACCCATCTGCATACATGATGTAGAAAAATAGGTTTTTAAAGAAACAGATTTTAGTTACAAGCTTCTAAGGGGTTAATGCAAACATAATTATTATTTTTAAATGATAAAAACATACTGACCGTATCCTTTTCTTAAAATGCATTCAAAAGTCCATAGACTCTGATATACATTATGGGACATATTTTCAAAAATGAAGGCCAGAAGGTGATGCACAAAAAACATGACCGAGTGTGCAGCCCTTTGATTGTACATACAACCACATTAAGCACAGTACTCCAATAGTTATTTGTACATGAACTCTTACAATCTAAATGCATAATTGCAGCAAATGAGTTGCAACTGTGACTGTACTTTTTACACATGCACTTGGGTGTCACTTTTTGAAACCTTGGCCTATGAGCAATGTTGATACACTGTGGGTAAGCTTTTCAAACCACTCTAAGAGAGACCATCACCTAAATGGCACATAGTTGTCTTGGGCTTCTTTGAAAATTCCAGACTAAAGTTGCCATGTAAGGGCCCGATCCAACTCTCATTGAATGACTCCCATTGATTTCAGCAGGAGTAAGATCAGGCCCCAAGTGAAAACTTCGCTTTCCCAAAGCCTACACTATATATTCTCCTTGTGAGCACCTACCTAGGCATTGGTTTTCAGTTGCATTTTTCTTAACTGTACCCATATTTATACCAAGGTTCTTCAGAAATTCTTTATAATCCAATGTATTCGCTTTACCAACACAGGAATGATTCCACAGTCTGGAAAAAAAAAGCAACTCCTTTCAGTGAACAACATTATTCTGCCAAATCTGTAGTGAAACATTGGGAAATAAACATATATGATCTTTAAAGAATATTATGTAAAAATTAAGAGAGGGAAGGTGGCATTTTTTGCATATACATATTGTATTATTTCCCCCAGAGTTTATATATGTGGTGTGTGAGTTGTCTACATACTATTACTCAATGCCACACTACCATGTGATTTGGCTGACCATGTACCTGAATATAAATTTTAATAGATGTGCACAGAAATTCTTTCAATTACGTAAGAAAACTATGGAAATTCTTAATCAAATCCCAGTGTAATCTATGGCAAACGGAACCTAAATTCTGTTACAATGTGCCTGGGTTCTGCAGCAGTCAGATCCAATGGGCTGGACATTCTGCAGCAGATTTATTTGAATTAAAATTTTGAATTTTTTTAATTAAATATGGAAATGAATATTACAATTAGAACCATATCCCCAGTGTAATTTATTTTTATATTGAATTTTCCAGTTTGAGAAACAATTGGGATTGGGATGAGCATATTTGCTAAATATTTGTGCTAATCAATGGTGAAATAGTTAATAGAATGAACAGCTAGGTTGTCCTCTTTAGATTTAAGTCAATCCGTTGAAATCAATGGGTAGTTCACACCTTTCAGAACTATTGTTTCAAGTTGTCTGAAGGTTTATGTGAGACAACACTCACTTGATGTTTCCAAATTTATCTTTCTAATCACTAGAAATATGTAATTTTTTTTAAATGAAAGCAGAGATTTTGTAGTACAATTCAGAGATGCATAGAGTTTAAGGCCTAAATATACCACTAGATCATTTAGTCTGACCTCCTGTATATCACAGGCCAGTTGTCCCTGTATTGAGACCAATAACTCATGGTTGACTAAAGCATATCTTCCAAAAAGGCATCCAGTCTTGATCTGAAGACAACAAAAAATGACAAATCCACCACTTTGCTTGGTAGTTTGTTCCCATGGTTAATCACACTCATGGTTAAAACTTTGTGCCTAATTTCTAATTTGAATGCCTCTGGCTTCAGCTTCCAGTCATTGGTTCTTGTTATACCCTTCTCCATTAAATTAAAGAGCCTGTACTATTCTCTCCCTATGGATAGAGACTCTAAATTAAGTCACCTCTCAATCTCCTTTTTGATAAGCAAATTGGGCAAGTCACTTAACCTCCTTTTACCTCAGTTTTCCCATCTATAAAAGTGGGATATAGTGCCTACATACCCAAAGAATAACTAGTTAATATTTGTACTGTACAGTGCTTTGAAATCTGTAAAGAATGACAGAAAAACTTATTAATAATAACATGGATAGACCATCTTCCAATTTGAAGCAAACTTACCTGTACAAATTCAAAATAAAGGAGATACTTCACAAACATTGTGTGACTGGCTTATTTGAACTCTGACAGTCAAGTCATGACAAAAAAGCCATGTTAAAGATCAGGTTAATGCTATATCTTGGCATAAATAACATGTCACTCATGATATATCTGTTTGACATTCATACTTTTTTGGAGCTCAGTTTTTGTAACATTCAAATACTGTTAAATCCAGATATACATACAAATTATCAAAAATGAACACTTCATTCATTATCTACCACTAAAAACAATAGTAACAGTTTTCATCGACACATGGATACTCCAATTTCTAACACCTGAAAAGCTCTTTCCCCCATAAGCTGTATTGTTACTGCTATCAGACAGTGTCTGGTGATTGAACAAGAAGGCTTTTTCTGGATTTTCATATGTCAAAGGTAAAAAATCAATCCCGTCAACCCCAAAAAGGAACTACAGCACTAATTATTTGTTCAGAACATCATTATGCATTACGAGCTGCTCTTAGCATTGGACCATTGAAAGGGAACCAAAAAACCCAAGCCATAAGTGTGGATCAGAATCATATGTTGCATGCTTTATGAAGTGAGGCGGACAGGCCTCCCTCCTCCGGGATAAGTGAGGGAGTGTTACACGCCCCTTGGAGGGCGGAGCCTAGGTCACCCCACCCCCCTTGCCGGAAGGACAGGGGCATGGCCGGAAGTATAAAAGACCAGGCCCACAGCCCACTCGGGGGGAAGCCTGCAGAGGGGAAGGACGTCTCGCTGGTTCTGGAGCAGCACGGAGCGGATTCCCCGCCTAGCTCAGCCCACGGCCCGGACGGGGACGACGACTGGCTCGGAGTGCCCGCTGCCACTTACCCGGAGGAGCCAGACAACGACTGGACATCAGAGGTACCCACCCCAGGGGAGGCAGGAAGTGGCCCAGGGGCAGCTGCCATAGGGCTGGCTGCAAAGCCCAGAGCCCCAGCGTCGGCGTGTTGCAGCTGGATCTCCGCCAACCTCAGGGAAGCTGATTCTGCCCCTGCCAGCGCCCTGGGCTGGGACGTGGTGGAGTAGGGAGGGCCCGCGTCCCCCTGCCCCCAACCCCCGGGTGGCTGACCCTCGTTCCTCTGCAAGGTGCTCTCGCTCTGAAGAGGAGTGGCCCCAGCCCCCGGAGACTGTTGTCTGCTGGCTGCCTGAGCCCTGCAAGCCCAGGCCCCAGCCTACCTGTAAGACTGTGTTATTTGCTGGCTGCCTGAGCCCGCCCAGGCTAGAGCCAGCCCCTTAAGACTATTGGCCCAGGCCAGCCCAGGCCCGGTTAAACGGAGACAAGTGTGGAGGCAGGCTACCGCCAGCCTTCAGCAACCTCCCTCCTCCGGAGTGAGTGAGGGAGTGTCACACTTTATCACTACCTTAGGTTACTATAAAAAGGACATGGTGCAACTTAAAGATATAGTAAATGGAGAGTGGGCTTTTCTTTACGGCATCCACAAACAATGGTTCAAATCCTTCTCCCACTGAAATCAATAGGAGTTTTGCCATCGTCTTCACTGGAAGTAGAACTGATCCTTGTATTTACTGAAGGAAACAAATAATGAAACATTCATTCCTGAGGGGGGGAAACCATGTTTATATGCTTTAAAATTGGGCAGAATTATCATGATGGATAGACTGCTTTTAGAATTGAAATCACTAAGTGGCATTCCTATTTATTCCAGTCTCCAAGTGGAAAAATAATAAATAGTCTCACTGAGGTTTACCATATTGTGATATTTATAGTACAGTACTCATAATTATTTACATAACTTCTTTAATCCTAAAGGTACTATGAATTATACTGGTTCCTCATAACTGTAGTGGTGGTGATGCTGGAAATGAAAAAATAGATTAGATTAGAATGGATAGATAAAATAGGGTGGCAATCCACTGATGCACAGCACAATGAACATACTCAGAAATTTTGTCCAAGGACACAAGGGCAAACCTCTACTTAAACAAAAAGTGCCATCTTTAAAGGGATCTGTTTCCTGTGCCTTGTATGTAGTAATATTTCAGGTTACTACAACTGAAAAATGTTAGCTGACAAATAAAAAACCTGTATTATTTGTGTGTTTACTTTGTATATTTGACAGCACCATGTGTAGTTACTTTCACTGTTTCCCCTGTATTTTCAGTAATCCAAAGCCAGTTAAAGTCAATGGAAAGTCATTGTCTTAAATGGGCTTTGGATCAGACCCCTAATTAAATGCTGTTGCTGCAAACACATATGTGCTTAATTTTGAGCATATAAATCCCAAATCAGGAAAGTACTAAGGCCCTGACCCTTAAACACTTATGCACATGCATAACTTTAATACTATCATTGATTTAATGGGATTTAAGCACGTGTTTAAGCATCCTTCCTGAATATGGATGCTTTTTCTGAATCAGAGCCATGAAATCAACAGGACTATTGACTTCCTTAAAGGTAAGCCTGTTCCTAAGGTTTACTAAGGGTCTGGGCTGTAATTATTTTTCCACTACTGAAAAGACCTTTACACAAACATAAACAAGGGAGCAAAAATATCCTTGTACATATTTTAAAGTGTGCATTTTTTTTTAATTTCAGCACATTATTTAAAGAGCACCCAATCACTCCCTACCCTTTTAAAAAAAATAGCCAGTTTCAGAAGATTCAAATTAAATTTAATGTGGACATAAGGCAGTGCTCGTTTTCTAAATATCAAAATTTTGTCATTATCACTAGAATTATTTTATTTTTCTACTTTCTATTTTTAACAAATATGAATGCTATTTATTCATTAAAATTCAAAACAAACAAATGTACCCATTATCCTTTCCAGCCCATTGTTTAAGAACATTTCATTCTTTACATAAAGATTTGCTCTGAAATGCTGCCAAAGAAAATAACCTTGAATTATTTGCTGCATAACTGCCAGATGACTACACTAAAGGTGCCAGGGGACAGTTTCATCTCGAGCATCTGACTTTTAAGAAAAATCTTTTACGTGTGGTATTTAAGAATTGGTGCTGTATCCCCGTCCTACAATACCTGAACACCCCTTCTCCAATATATGAGAAGAGATTGTCTTGTTGCTCTGAGACAAATCCAGGATACCAATGGGAGAGTCAAGGCCATTGCTTTTTATTGAAATAGCCATTCCAAAACAGGGAAGTGTCAGGCTTGGATGAGTTTAAAGTCCACTAGGACCACTGGACTGTATAACTGTGAAAGCCTGAAGGTCTAAGTACTGGGTACAGGAGAATGGTATTTGTCAGGTAGGCATATAGATCTATGGATGGGAGGGAGAAAGCTAGGGACCATTCTTTCCAGGCAAGATTGTGCCAGCACAGATCAACTGAGAGCTGGTTTGCCTTTTTCTGCGAGAGGACAAGACTTCAGAGCTGCCAGACTTTTTCTCTCATTGGCAGGTTCTTAGTGTCATTTTAACTATTCTACAAACTACTGATTTGTCTGTCTGGCCTATCTGAGAGAAAGTTCCTGAGGCCAAATGGTGTCCTTCACAGGGCTCTTGGATCTCACGCATTTATGTAGAGCCTGATCATTGACTATAACCATTTTCCCAAAACCACACAGCTCCTTTTGTGTCTCCTACCCTAAAGATTGACATTTGTGGTCAGAGAAAGCCCTCTTTATAATTATAGGCCTGATCCAAAGACCGTTAAAGTCAAGGGAGAGATTCAACAGAGTGCCAGAACACCATAAGAGAAGTTTTGTCATGGGGAGAAACATTTATCAAACACTCCAAGTCAAATATTCAATGGGCTTGGGCTTGAATCAGAAACAGCCGCAGGGTCCCGAGTGCAGAGTAGAAGTGAACACAGGAAACCACCTTGAAGGAGAACACCAGAAGGCAGAGTAGCAGCAGACTCCGGTAAATAGGACAACACTGAAGACACTGAAACACCTGTATAGCTGTCTTGTCATTCCAAGTTGGTCTGGTCTGGAAGTGACCTCTCAGGTGGATTAGGCTCTGCTGTAGTTTAGAACTAACTCCAGAGACAAAAAGAATGGTAAGAGCCAGGAGCCTGTTAACTGGGAGTATTGGAAAAAGTTTCAGGTCCTCCAAAGCAAAACTTCAGAACTAGTTTGTTCTGACAAATGCAGCCTTCATCTGAAAAACCCATGCCATTTAAATCTATATTGCCCAGAGCTATTAAAGAGATACAGTGTAGCAGCCAATTGAGATTCTAATGTTCTCGTTCCTCTATGGGTTCATGTCACTGAAAGTGAGGCTCCTAATATCTAAGGAAACATCACTGGGAACCTCAGGAACAGAAGCCAATTTAAACTAGACTAGCCGTCCAGAGGATCCTCTTTTCTTTTTAATGCAGCTGGATTTTTAGGCTCTTTGGTGAGGCAGGAGCCTCCAGCTAGGCTCTGGCTTTAACAAATAGGAATGAAAAAACAGGAAGACGAGAGGGAGGAATTATAATATTCTTAAAGAAAAGAAGACCTCTTGGCCTACCTGATTTCAGACACTGGGATGCTAAAGAAGAGTGAAAGTTGTCCATGGACTTTAGTTAGAGAGCGGCTGTGGATTTTTGTTGGGGACCTCCACAGATAACTGCTCAGCGACATGGACTGTTAGGCAAAGAAATATAGAAAGTGCAGCTTTTGGTGTCTTGCTGCAAGAGTTACATTTGCTCAGTTTCCTGCTAGCCTCTCATGGCAACACCTTTTTTGTTTGTTTTTTGGAGCAGCCTAGCTAGTCAGTGAAATTTCTGGAATGTGAAAGTGGAGGCGTTTCCCTTGTGCTTATCACTCCTGGGAAGTCAGAAAATGAGTAGGGCACTCAGGAAATATATGAGGACACCTGGACTTTGCCATTTTATTTGTTGCTCCTTCCTATTTACCTATGATGTTATATGCCAAAGCCCATTAATAAGTGAACTAAGTTTATGCACTTGGACAATATTCACTTAGGACATGCTGGGTCAGGGGACGGGTGACTTATGAGGATGGAGTATGGAGGTGGAGACAGAGAACCAAATTTACTGGCATGCTCCATTCCTTTGTGCTGCCCTGGTGATGCAAACAACCATAAACCCATCTTAACTGGAGCAGTGCAAAACTGCTGGTGTAGCAGTGAATCTGGCCCATGATTTTAACTGCCCTCAAAAAGTTAAAGCCTTCTCATCCCTGGAATAGGGCACTAATATCTTTCCCTCAATGCACTATTATCATTAATGATGTCACCCATGTACTTTCAGTGGAGAATTCACTCCAAGATGCTTAATGGTCCATCCAAATAAGGAATTCAGGTACAGTTTGGTTACATATAAAATCTCTCAAGTTTAATAGGCTTCTTTAAGAGAATGTGACTGTAGTTTTGTGATTTTTACTAAGCAAGATAGGATGGAAGCAATTTTTAAAAGAAGTAATGCATTATTTCTGATCTTCTGTTCTCCAATATAAAGGTGAATCTGTATCATTATTTTATATGTTAAGCTTCAGAAGTTTTATCTGAAACATCGTCATTGTTGAGCATTAAAAAAACCCCAAATAAAAATTTGTGATCTTTTTTATTATTCAGTACTTATGGAGATGTAGTAACATTTTTTTATAGATTTACTACCTTTCAGATAGCAATGCCAAACACAAGGTTTATTGTCAAATAAAGCATTGTTTTGTTTGTTGATTGCTGGCTTTAAAAGGGTATTGCTTCTGTTCTATAATTGCGTGTACAAAATTATTTAATTGGTTTTGTTGGGATGTAATTCTGGAGAGTGTCCCAGCCAGAAAACATATAAAAATTGAAACAGTGAGCCCAGACAGCAAAGACAGGCTAAAAATTATTTTGGAGATTGCTTGTAGAAGGGGAAAAAACCCAACAACAAAAGAACTGCCCATCCTAATTTATTTAATTTTCCTTTAGGCCCTTATCCAACAGAAAACAGCCTCCAAGATTGCTGCTGACAAAAGCTCCATGGACCTTATGGAGTATGCATCCGTGAAAGCAGCTCCAAATTCCAAGAGGATACATCATCCTTGGAAACCGCCATGTGGTAAACACACAGCTAGATTCTCCTATATTCGTGGTGTTAATTACACCTACCTCCACCAGCTGATATTCCTGAACTCCAGGGGCAATTCACCTGCCCTCTTTCAAAATTTCCACCAAAGAGGAGCAGCTTTAAATCACAGCCAGGGCTCCACAGGAGTTCACTAGCAAAGAATGCTCAAGAGATGCATGGAATTAGTGTATCCTCCAGTTGCCTTGGACACCCATCCTCCTGGGGCAGTTTAGCCCACCTTAGGGATGCAGGCACGGCCTTTTGCAGACCCCCAGTAGAATAGAGGCAGTGGCCACTTTTCACTTCCAACTGCCCTCAGAGAGGTGCCTCTGCTAGGGTTTATGAGAGTAAAAGCTGGCAGGGACCCTGGATTCATAATGCCAAAAGTATCCAGTGGACTTCTAATTAATACTTAGCACTTACAGGCAGAGCGTATTATATTTTAAACTCCTGTACAATCATTAATTAATCCTCATATCAACCCAGTGAGGTAAGTATAATTATCCCCTTATACAGGCTGGGAAACTAAGCACAGAAAGGTTAAGTGATTTGCCTGAGGTTACCAAGCAAATCAGTGCTGATCTGGGATTACTCAGTGTTCCTAAATCAAAGGCCCATGCTCTGTCTGCTGACTCATATTCCCTCTCTGACTGCCCCCTTCCCAGAGACAGAATCTGTGTTTCCATCTCAGTTAATTACCATGCTTGGCAATCAGGCTTGGGGCATGATGTCAAAGCTCCAAGCTTTCCCTGACATCCCAGTGGGGAGGGTATGTTCTGCCCTGCTTGACTAACATTGTGAAGAGAACTCATAGTTCAAATATCTCCCATGACTCAGCCAAGGAAAGCTAGAGGATTGAGCAAAAGATTGTTTCTTTCACCTCCAGTGACTGGAGCAAGGAAGGCATCTCCACTGCTCATCACTTCTCTCCCTAGCACAGGTTCAGGTGGGTCTCACTGTTATCACCATTCAGCATGTAATCAGTATGGGGTGAGAAGGCACCAGCAGTACCATTCCCGGAACTGACGTGAAGGGGGGAAGGAATGTCTCCTCTGACAATCTTTTGGAGATCAAGGCAAAGAGGTTCTACCCCAAACACCAATCTCTTTGAGACTGTGTGGGTGAGACCCACATGCCCACCCCCAACAATCAAGCTGCTTGAAGCTAGAAGGAGTTAAGATGCTAAGACCCATTCCTTTAGCAACTAGACCATGGAATTACTACCTCCCGCAGGCTATAGGAAGTTTCAGAGGCTGAAGTGTGCATGTGGGTGATTAAAGTGATGGGTCCACAATATGGAGCAAGGCTCTTGGCAGCCAGCCAGCTTTTATCCTAATAAGTCAGCCTATTACCAAGCCACTCTCCAGAACCTGACAGCCTGTGCAGGTCAGAAGGCCATATAGGCCCCTTAACTTATTAATCTCAAGCACCATACAGAAATCTTTGACTATTTACTTACTTACTTTTCATACTCTGCATCCTTCATCCTGAAACAACTGATCTCAAGAATCCGTCTTAGCTCATGGCGCTGTATTTGTCCTGTTCGGTTATAGTCAAAAAGTCTACAGGTCTTGATGATGCTTTTCAAATTCTTTGAAATCTATAAATTAAACAAGAAACAAACACCGATGCAACGTGAAACACAGGCACTGGACAGCTTTGTTAATATAAAAAATGGCATTTTATACCTTTTCCAACAATGCAAAAAAACAAAACAAAAACAAAAAAACAACCTTTTTGAGCACAGTGGGAAGTGTGACTATAAGACATGAATACTGCGCAGTTACTGGATGTTTTGAAGGCAATTTCCTCAGTAAACGGTGTTGGTAAAGTTAAAAAACGTTTAGGCAAAGTAATGAGTTTCAAATACAACTCATTCCTTCTAAGCAGTAGATAAAAGATATCTTCCTCCAATGACTGAAACCTAGAGATTTGCTAGAAACCAAATACTGCAAGATTGTGTATTTATGTATATAAGTCATTCACTCATGCAATTTTACAATTAATATGTAGACAGGCTTGTTACTGTATTACTTTAATCAGTTACTTAACACTATAACTCTAAAGTAGTAATTCAGTTCCATGGGTATTGATGTGTGGAAGTGGAAAAAGGGATAAAGGGAATTTGGACGCAGACATCTTAGTTTTCAACAGACTAGAGCAAGAGTCAGGCTAACTCCAACTTTAATAACGCGAGACTTCAAGGCAGGGCCTGAGCGAGTGGGAAGCGAGTGGGAAAAACTGTAAGAGATACTGGTTTTCGACCTTGTGTTAGATAAGAATGGAATACAGACTGTAGCAGGAACTGCTGAGAAAAGTAAGATATCAGAAGGAATATGTATAAACAAGATGCGGTGTTGATCATTATTGTCTGTAACAAAAGGTATAAATGCTTGCCCTAATTGTTTATCTAACGGAGACCTGCCTGGGGTGGGGGAACCCCAGTCAGGGTATACTCTCCCCATGCAAGTGTCAGGAAAATAAACTGTCTCTGACATGTTGCAAACAACCTAAGAGTGAAGACTCTGTTTTCTTCCACATATGTTTATTAGAAATCAACAAACGATTAGTGTTCCGAATAAAGTGGAGTGAATCTCTTTTTTATTCAATTCAAATATTTACCAAAAATAAGAGGGTATGTTTGAGGACAAAAAAAAAGAAAACATGGGGTTTTGCTAGTGAAGGTGTGACATTTGCAACTGCAGCCCTTTTCTCTGACCCTGTTAAAAATCTGTGCAAGTCTGAACCTGAAAATGCAGTCATACACTAAAACATGACATTGTGGGGTTCTGAGCTTACTGTTTTTCAATTACTTCTATGCTGAATTTTGCTGTTTACAAGTAAGAAAAGTTTGCTTAAAAATACTGCTCTTTTTAACTACTGTTCCTAAAAATTCAAGCTGGGAATTGAAAGTCAAGTGTGTTCTTTCTGGTTCACACAACAGGAGCAACAATATAGATTCTACAACTGGAACTAAGCTGCCTGTTTTGATGAAGGTACATGAGCCAAAATAGAATCCTGTAGGCTACGCAGTGCTAGCAGGAGTATAAAGTAGCAAAACCTTGGGTGAAATCCTGCTCCCATTTAAGTCAATAGGAGCTTTGCCATTGTGAACTCCTTATTCCCACTGCTGAGCAGTTAATCCCATGAGTAGTTTATTTGACTGCAATGGCACAATCTATGGTTATACCTGCCCACCAGTGTAAGTAAAGGGCCCACAATCTAGTCCAAAGTAAGCAGAATTGAGGTATACGGTCAGGTTATGACTGGTCCTTGGCAGGTATGCACAGACCAGGATGATGGAAGGGGGCAATTTTTTTTTGTTTTGGATGGAGACAAGGAGGAGGGAAAGCTGGTTTTACTCATAAAAATTGCCGTTTGCTACTATGAACAGTTAAGACAACACAATAAAGTTCTAATATAAACAGGACTGTCAAAAAGGCAGAAATTTCCCTGTTTCACTGGACGGGAAAAACATTTCCACACATCTAGTCCCACACAACCTCAAGGTTTTCATGAGAAAGACTATTTATTAACATTTGATATCTTTTGGTAATCAGATTTTGTTAAAGAGGATCACTGTATGGTCAAAGAATCAAGCTTTTAATTCTTCAATCCCCCCAGAATCAGAGATTCATTTCCTAGAAGGTTGAACTCAACTTTTCATCCTTATAAGTCAAATTGAGTACCATGCAGTTTACCACTGTGGCACTCTGTACCTCAAAGCAACACCCTGGAAACCCCATATTCACCACTGTCATGATATGTTTTGTACAACGTATGCCTTGTGAGGTATCATTTTAAAGGTCATGATCTGCTGAAACCTGTTGTTCTGTCAAAATACGTATATCATTAGTGTTTATGAAGTGATTTTGCTGTATATTTGTTATTGAAATATGTTGTAAATTTGAGAGTCGTCCATTGTTAGTTCTCCAGTGACAACAAAGGTGGTGATCCACATCCAGGCTGCCATTAAACAACCATTAATCAGCAGGGGAGTTGTAAACAAGGGATTTGCAATTCTGTAAGAGAAACACCACACAATGGGGATTGCTCAACCCTGTGACTCAGCAAGCCCCACCAGGCATGCCTGTGCTAGTTTCTTTCCAGGGACATGGATTAAGAGTATAAAATAAGGGTCAGTGGTATCTTGAGGGCACCTTTCTCCTCCCCATCTACACTGGAAGCAACAAGAATGCAGGGAAAACAAATACCTGAACTGAGGAGACTGGTCCCAGACTTAAAGGGAAAGCCTGTCTATTAAGGACTGTAACCTACCTGCAACATCCAATGGGATGAGAAAAACTGCTTGATCCAAATATTGTTCAGTCTAATACAGTGGTTCTCAAACTTTTGTACTGGTGACCCCTTTCACATAGCAAGCCTCTGAGTGTGACCCCCCCCTTATAAATTAAAAACACTTTTAAATATATTTAACACAATTATAAATGCTGGAGGCAAAGCAGGGTTTGGGGTGGAGGCTGACAGCTTGCAACCCTCCATGTAATAACCTTGCAACCCCCTAAGGGGTCCCGACCCCCAGTTTGAGAACCCCTGGTCTAATAAAGTCTAGGATTTAGACCGCATGCTTACCCAGGGCCGGCTCCAGGCACCAGCCGAGCAAGCTGGTGCTTGGGGCGGCAACTTGTAGGAGGCGGCATTCCGCCCAATCCTAGGGCGGCACGGCCGCTTTTTTGTTGTTGTTGTTGTTGTTGTGCCACTCCGGCCGCCCTGTAGGGGGCAGCGGCGTGGAGGACGGGAGCGCCCTGCAGCAAGCCCGGTAGGGCAGCCCGCGTCCTTCCCTTCCCACCGACCAGAGTGGTGTGGAGCCCTCCCGGCAGGGGGCACGGTGGCAGGGGCCGCGTGGCAGCGCCCCGCTGAAGCCTGGCCGCCCCCTTCTCTCTCTCTCCCCACTCCCTCCCCCTCCCCCCGCTAGCCGGGGCACATCTGTAGGGCAGGGAGTCCCCCTGCACCCTGGATCCGGCTTCGCCGCAGGTTGTTGTTTGGTTTTTTTTTTGCTTTGCTGTTCTGGCCGCCACGGGTTTTTTTGTTTGTTTGTTTGTTTTGCTTGGGACAGCCAGAAAGCCAGAGCCGGCCCTGTGCTTACCTTTTATTTTCTTTGGTAACTATCTCTGACTTCTTTTGCCTACCACTTAGAATCACTTAAAATCAATCTTTCTGTGGTTAATAAACCTGTTTTATATTTTACCTAAAACAGTGTGTTTTGGATGAAGTGCTTGGGAAATCTCAGCTCAGGTTACAAAGGCTAGTGTGTATCCTCTCCACATCCAGGGAGGGGTAGACTGGGAATGAATTTATACAGGCCAGGCTTCTGACCAGGGCAAGACAGTACAGTTCTGTGGTGCAAGGCTGGGGGCTTGGGAGATTTGCTGGTGCCTTTCTCGGTATGATTCGTGAGTGGCTCAGGGAGCACTCATGCAATTTAGCTGGATGGGGGGCTGCTGTACTGAGTGATAAACAGCAAACCCCCCAGGTGCTGTTGTCACTAGCAAAGCATTGTGAGAGAGAGCCTGGGCTGGAGAGATAAGGGGGCATAACCCTACCCAAGTTTCAGGTTGTACCCCAGGGATCCTGTCACAACTACATAAAGATATTTCAGCTGATCATTGAACATGATCAGCTGTTTCAACATTAGAAACGTTAGTCTTGTTTGATCTCAATAGACATGAATGAGTCAATCACACTTTTCATTACAGTAGGACCTTGTCTTGGTATCTGGCCATATTGTCCTCTCTTACTACTGTTGTGTGCCAGTTGGCTACTACGTTCCACCCCAGAAGTAACTGCATTTCAGCAGTGTTACAAGAAGGTAGTTTGAGTAGTACTGGGGGATCCCTCAAGATCAAAAACTAGGTGTTTAAAGTATTTTCTTACACTTTGATGTGTAAAGAAAATTCAGTGCAAATCACATCCAGCACCAGACACAGGGAGTTCTAAATACAGTTTTTATGCAGACCACAGATTACCCTTCAAAGACTGAAGTACTCTACCTCCAAATACGAGGCTACCCACCCAACTGTATTTCGCTAGCAACATAATTATTAATGATCCCCATACTTCACACAACATATGCATTCCAAAGAGAGCCTGCACCCATGGATCTGAGCTTTGGGGTACCACCTACATAATATTCTCCTTCCTGCTCCCTTATTCTGTGGAATCCTCTCTGCATAGAGAACACAAAGTTTCACTTCTGAATGTTTGACAGGGCAAGCAGAGGAAGGTGGAGAGGGTTTACTGGTCTGCACTGCATCACTGCATTCTCCCCACCCCAAACCCTCTGATTCTGTCTATACTAACTTACACGGCCTTCCCCCAATGTGGTGTGGAACAACCCTGAGAGGGGTTTCAAGGGAAACCACAGGACGAGTGAGCCCCCTGTAGCACAATTCATAGAGGAATCATGTTGTTCAAGGGAGGCAAAATAATGGAGTAGGGAGGCAAGAGACCTCTGTGCAGATTTGCTGAGATTCCCTTGCATAGTTTGGGGGATATAGGGAGGGAGGAGTCTGAAACCCATGGCATCTGCAGGGAGAATCTGAAGGAAATTCTGCAAGTGTAAACTAACAGTTGCTGCTCCTCTTTATAGCAGACACCTTAGTAATGTAGGGAGTACTGCAAGTACTGAACTATTTATCTGAAGTAAAAATGGCAAAAATTTAAGGGTGGCAACTGTTCATTCTACAGAACTATACACTGAGGAATGAGTTGATGGCAGGACTGGGATTTAAATCCAGGTCTCCTGACTGCCAGCCCACTATTCAAACCAGCAGAACATTCTGCCTCTCTCATTTTAGTGAAAAGGTGTCAAAAATCCCACCGTCACATTGTCATTCTTGGTGGCAAAAGAATGAGAAGTCAGTTGTGCCTTTTAAGTCACAGCCTGCAGCAGGGCATAACTTGGAAGCACACTGCCTCTGCAGCAGTTCCCAGAGAAGCACAGCTTGTGCATCACACTTTTACAGGGTGCAAGATGTGCTTTCCTCCACACACGGCAAAGTCTGCTGGTCTGTACAGGGCAAGAAAGGGAGAAAGGCCATAACCTTTCCATTTCCACAGCCCTTCTGGGGAGGCTACCATTGCTGGACTGAAGCAATCCTGGCTCCTGGCATCCTCTTTCCCTCAGCCTGCACCCACATGCAGAAATTCTCACATTCTGCCCTGGAATGGGCTTGGAGAATGAACCACCTTCTCATCCCTAGAGGGTGGCCTCTCCAGAGCAGGGTACCAGGTATACAGGAAGGGCAGGGTGAGCAAGCTTTCACACCCAGAGCTCAATCTGGTGCCTGCGCTGTAGACAAACAGAAAACTTCAGCCTGCAAGGTTGTCAATCCAGCACATTTCATGCACACTTTTTTTTTTTGCTTTGTTTAAAAAAAAAGGAAAAATAAATGCATGAAAAAATATTCCTCGTGCAATAAACACATCAATGCTCATTTTCCCTATATTCTACTTTGGGCCATTTTGTGTAAAATCTTTAATTAAAGTTTTTCTTTGAAATTGTCATCATCAAACCAGAAGAAAGAAAGTAAAAAACGGAAGGACACAGCTGTGCATATATGAAGTGCTATTCAGTACCAAATGAATTGGAACAAAATAAGTATCGTGACTGTTATGCTCTTAGTTTTGGCTCTGTATTCTCAGTAGCACAGTCTAACTTGTCACTTTATATTGATTCCATCTGTTTACACTCTGCAGAGTATTGGCTTCCTACAGTGAACATTTCCTATTTACCAGCTGGTAGAGATAGGCCAAACCAGATAGAAAAGAATTAGACTATTTTCAGAGCCTCATAAACATAAAATCAAAAATTTGTGGGGGAAGGGAAGTAGGAAAGTGGGGAGTGAGGAAGAGATACTGGGCCTAATTCTCATTTACACTAAGGCCCTTTATACATTCTAGCAATTTAGAGGGACCTTAAAATTGGTGTAATATATTTATGCGCACTTAAAGGCCTCTTTACACCACCACACTTTACTGGAGTATAAAGGCGGCTTAGTGTAAATCAGGCTCAGTATGTTGCTTACCTTTAAAGAGACACTAGCCGTTTAGGTCCAAAACTAAGGATTAGTTAGTATGAATACTTATGCACAAACATCTCCATACAACAGCTAGAAGTGAAATGCCTAAATGTAAACCCTGATGCGTAAGTGCATTATGGAGCCATCATTGTATCCTCACAAGCCTTCTTATAAATTTGCTTTTTCTAGTGGTTGGTTCTCTTCTTTTTCTTCTTTACTGAGGCGGTTTCAACCCCACAGCTGCTAGCTCCTCAGGTGAATATTTTTGCTGCTTTTGTTGAAAGCTGTTTCAGGTGGCCAGTCTTACCTGAATCTAACTTTTTTTTTAATGTTTGGAGACACTTCACTGTTTGAATCAATATTTCCTTCCTTGCTTTTCTGCGCTTTTGGATAAGTAATCAAGGAGAAAATCCTGCCCCTGACTCTGAGGCTATGGAGGCTCTCTTAGCAGCAAACCCAGTGAACTTCCATTGTGCAAAGGGACCCCTTTCCCTTTGCGCAGTGCTTTGACCCTCTGTATTCTCAGGATTTGGGTACAGGGGATGAGCACCCTGTGGGGCACAGAGCCCTGCTCTGCTGGAGCACCCAGTGCAGTAGCATGCAGACAGTGCATGGAGTGGGCAGGGGAGAGGAAGGACCAGAAGATCTGCTGCTATACAAACCCTCTAGTTTTCCCCTTCCCACAGTGAGGGGAGCGCAGAAAGGACTGCACAGGCTACTCCAGCCACTGGGCTGTCTTAACTTCTTCAGATTGGCTCTTAAGCCACTCACTAAGTAGACGGAGATGATTCATTTTCATCATCTTTATATACATCTGCTTAGCATCTGGCCAGCTTCTTGCGCTGAGTGCTGTATTTAGGATGTGCCACAAAAAATCCAGAATGTAATGGCCATTCTCCCCATACGGTATTACTTCCCTCCCATGGTCAAGTCTTCACCAACTCTTCTGATAGTGGCCTACTGGAAAACTGTTATTGCAAGTGGCTAGAAAGAAAAGAATCCCCTGTTCAGATCTAGCTTCATAGCTTTGATCTTGCATTTGAAATATTCCAAAGCTTTTCCTAGCTTTTCTTTGCATTTCTAAATATTTAAGAATTATTATGAAGGTGGGAATGCTTACTTATGGCAAATAAAAGTGGTGATTGTTATGTCACAAAATCACTTGGACTAGATGGGACATCAAGTGGGTCATGTAGTCCATCCTCTTGCACTGTAGCTGCATGTATTTCATTATAACAACACTCTGCACTTCTATAGAATCTTCCATCTGAGTATCTCAAAGTGTTTTCCAAGCATGAATGAGTTTAACCCTTGTGAGGTGAGAATTATTATCCTCTATTTTACAGATAAAGAAAAAATGGTGTTAAAGACCCAATTTTTAGAAATATGTGTGCACAATTTCCCATACAATCACAGTAATTAACACAAACGTGTCCCTGTTAGATGGATGAAGGGCATATTGGAGGAGCAGAGTAAAGTTTGGTTTGGGAATAATCAATGTGCCATTTTACAGGTGAATATTTATTTAAGAGATTATATGAATGAAGTATATCTGAACATTTATTTATTTCGCTGGTTAATTTCCATAGTTTGAAATGCTTGGGGTTTTTAACTAAAATTTTACTGGAATATATAGGTAGCAGTAACCTTACCTTTAAGTTGATAGCCTTTTCTATTAATGTACTTGAATATACATATCACCGCTGTTTCAGAATGTCCTTAAAAAAATAATACAGAACCTGGGAAATTAAGTGTACCAGAACCCTAATTAGGACTTTGGGGGATATTTTCAATTAATAAATTTTGTAATGAGAAGATATCTAAGCTGTTTCTTTTGTGATATGACATACTCAACATGAAAATGTAAATGTTACTCTCCAGTTAGTTGCATATAGCCAAATGAATAAAAGCTATGACATTAATAATAACTATATTCAGCTATGATTGATAGGCTTTTCTGCAGTGAGGAAAGATTGTCTTGGGTACAATCTGTCCTAACAGCTCTGCGATATGTTAATATTTTACTCAGACTAGAGAAAAGATATATTCAGATGTCCACCATATAAGAGGGGCTGAGGATGCTACTGCAGCCTTGAGGTTGCAAAAGAAGCTGTAAAATAGGAAGGATTTTATTGTCTCCTCCCAATATATGTGCCAAGCCTGTGCCAAACAGTGTAGGGAGCAGGATTTGCATGAGGTTATGTCCTAGGATGCCTTTTTGCTTACATGAAAATCTTGGGGTGTGGTGGGACATGACACATGATGCTCCAGAGGGCACAGAACATTCTTCTGGTGAGCTCTGCGCCATGGCAAATATTTGCTATGATCTCTGGTTGGCTTAACTGATGTCCAAGTATAATAAAAGATTACTACATTGATGCTGGATATTTTTTTACTCCATCAGAGAAAAATCTATCTTACACATAGCCATTTCACTATTACCTGAATCCTCAGAAGAAGGTACTAGAGTTTCCATACAACATGGTGCCAGAGATCTTAGGCTGGATTCTCCACAGCCTGCCCCTTGTGTCGCTGTTTACTTTCATGCAAAGTGAAGGGCTTAAAATGCTGTTGTTCTGACTTGGTAGCATTTTTTTTTACCAACTTTGCACAATTTAACTGATTACCCAAGATGCACTAAAGTGAAGAATCAGGCCCCTTAAATGAATCCGGCCTTTTATTCAAGCCAGCAACATCTAGAACTAAGAGTACCAGTACCATTTATGAAATGCCAGAACTTAACTTATAAAGTAAATAACCATTTTAGCAATCAGTTTCTGTTACTATCCACCTCTACGGTACCTTTTCCTTTAAGAGGGACTCCAGCTGACTTAATGTCATGGTTTGGCTGCCTTGGCTATCATTCCATCTAAAAATAAATAATATGAACAAAAGGATTAGACATAAGGCAAATGCATTACATTACTGTTGTAGACCAACAATGGCCCAATTATTGATATCAGTGAGAGTTTTGCCTAAGTATGGAATGAGTAAAGACTGCAGGAATGGGCCTCCACAGTGATCCTGCACACGGCTCTGGGCCCGGCTGCACTGCCCAGCTGCACTGGCATAAAGTGACACTGAATCTGGTGGATCCAGCTCCCAGATGATCTCCCCGTGCAAGTGGATTCTTGAGCAATGTAGAGACATTGTAGCTCCTACACCTTGCACACCATGGCTGACAATGTGGAGGATGTGGCTGGAGGACAATAGCATAGCTTTCCAGTGCCTAAGCAATCCCCAGCTGTTTTAACAGCCACTGGGGCCATTGGCAGCTGATACTGATGTGTGGCTGGGCCAGGGAACAAGACTGACACACACAGGAGTCCTAGAATCAGGTGAATACAAAGGACACCTCTGTACCTCAATGCCCAGCTGCATCAAGTGCTCCTCAGCCATAAATGAGGATCTAGCCCTTTGTATTTATAAGATCATTGTCAATGATCTTTTAACATGTGAGGTTTTTTAGAAAAAGAATGGCCCTACTCTCACCCATTTACTTACATCAAAACCAGAGACCAAGTCATTTTCACAGTTAACAATTAACAAGTTTTATTTTTCTCAACGGATCTGACAGATTCTAAATTCCTGTTTTCCCAGGCTCTTCCCCTAACTAAGGGCTTGATCCTGAAAACACTTATGCAAGAAAGTACTCATGTGTATTTGCAGGATCGAGTGCTAAAGACCAAATTCTGCCCTGACTTACAGCCCATTGGGTTCACTGAGATTGTGTGGGCTTTAAATCAGGGCAGAAACCAGCCCTAAGCTCCCTCTTACAAAATTTTCTCTGGAAAAACAGCACCTGCACTGCCCTCCTGTGGCAAACTCCTGTAAATTAAGCTACAACTATCCCACATTTATTTTTGCTTCACAACATTTTCTGACTTACATTGCGTATAGTTTTAATACATGTCTACAAGTATTTGGTTGGTCAAAATGCAGCATTTTCTAATTATAGGCTTGATTCTGTTCTCTTTCACCAGTATAAACCAAGAGTTTATGAACTAAACTCATTCAGATTCCATGTGAAAGTGAGAGGAAAATCAGGCCCCACATGTTTAACCTATTCATTATTTTTTCCATGATATAAAAAGGGATTAAGCTTTCATTTTGTGCATGATCCTTCATTCTCTATTTAATTAATTTTTGCTAATTAATCACAAGTTTTGTAAAGCTCCCTTGTTTCTCTGGAAGACAGCAGCCTTAAATTCCCTCCTCCCATTTTCTGCCTCTCTTCCTCTCCTCCTCTCCCTTCCTCCTGCTTCCTTTCAGTGGACTACTCCCACTGTTGTTTCCCCCTCATTCTCTGGGAGGTTTGTTAACTTTACACTTGACGGTAAAAGAGCTGGGTCAGAATCAGTAGAATAATTTCTAAGGCAACTGTCTGTTAGAGCCTGGATCATCTGCTCCCACAATCAAACCTGCAGGAGAGGGAATCTATGAAAGGAAATCTCCATGAGGATCCCATTGCAGAGTCCCTAACCGGACATCCCAGAAGGGAGAGGAAAGGGGTGGGGAGGGGAGGGAGGTTAAATTATATAGTGCTTTTGGAGCAAAGCTACTAGGTAAATGTAGGGTTAGTTTTACAGTATAATATACAGTATGGTACTCAGAGAATGCTTTGCATTATACCTCTCAGATGTCCCTCATGTGAAGGGAAGGCACTCATTTTAATCCCAAAGTTACCTACCTGCCACACAAAATTGGTACCTCCACACTTTTATTGCGGAAAGTGATTTACATCAGAAGTAAAGAAGGATTTAAAAGTGAAGCTCCAGAGACGAGAAAGTTACTCACCTTGTGTAGTAACTGAGGTTCTTCGAGAGATGTCCCTGTGGGTGCTCCACTTCAGGTGAAGGTATGTCCCTGCGTCTTTGCTTGAAGAGTTTTGCAGCAGTGTTTGTATGGGTCGCGCACACGCAGTGCCTACCTTGCATGCCACTGGCGCCTCAATAGCGTGCGCAACCTGGACTCCTCAGTTCCTTCTCTATCCCGGAGCCTGCTCCAAACTCTGAAGTAGAGGGGAGGAGATTGGGTAGTGGGGCACCCACTGGGACACGCATCTTGAAGAACCTCAGTTACTGCACAAGGTGAGTAACCTTCTCTTCGAGAGAGAGATGTCCCTGTGGGTCCTCCACTCCAGATGACTGAAGAGCAGTGCCGACCTCAGATGGTAGGGGCTTCAGAGTTGGTAAAATAGCTGTTGATAGTACAACTCAGCCAAGTCAAATATCCACCTGAGGACCTTGCGTAAAAGCATAATGTTTAGCAAAGGTGTGTTCAGAGGCCCAGGGGGCACCTTTGCAAATGTCTATAAGGGGAACGTTGTTTAGAAATGCCACTGCCGTCAATATTGATCTGGTAGAGTGCATCTTAATTCCCGTTGGAGGTTGTATGCCTCTTAATTGATAGCATAGGTGAATGCATCAGGATGTCCATTTAGATATTCTTTGAATGGATATGGAGTTACCATTAGAGCATTCTGTGATAGAGATAAAAAGTTTCGGTGAGACTCTAAATGGCTTGGTCCTGTCAAGGTAAAAAGACAATGCTCTCCTAACATCAACGGTGTGCATTGTGGCTTCAAAAGTGTTGGTGTGTGGTTTAGGAAAGAAAGTAGGTAGTTGTATTGGTTGATTGATGTGAACGACGAATATACTTTGGGAAGGATTTGGGATGGGTTGGCAAAGTGACTCTATCTTTAAAAAAGATAGTAGATGGTGGGTCTGCCAGGAGCACCCCGATTTCTCCCACACTTCTAGATGATGTGATTGCTATTAGAAACGCCACTTTCATGGACAGGTGTAGTAGGGAGCAGGTTGCTAAAGGTTTGAACAGTTTATGCATCAGGGCTGTTAGGACCAAGTTTAAGTCCCATGGTTGCATGGGTGGTCTCACGTCCGGACAGAAAGTTTGGATACCCTTAAGGAACCGCTTTGTGATAGGGTAAGCAAAGATTGTAGTGTCACCAATTTTGACACTAGTGTCACTTTATTGAGCTGAGGGCAAGACCAGATTGTTTCAGTTTCGGGAGGTAGTCCAATATAATTGGAAGAGGTGCAAATGCTGCAATGGTTTGTCTGGTGGGACACCATGTAGTAAATCTCCTCCATTTGTGGAGATAGGTGCTACGTGTAGTATGTTTTCTACTGTGTAGCAGCACTCTCTGGACCTACTCAGAGCAATTTAGCTCATCATTAGAGAACCATGGAGGAGCCATGCCTTGAGATGTAGCATCCTTATGTTGGAGTGCTGGAGTTGGCCCTCCCATTGAGTTAATAGATCTGCCTGTAGAGGGAGTGTGATTGGGTATGTGCGGACATCCATGTTACGTACGGATACCACGCTTGTCTCGGCCGTGTGGAGGCTATTAAGATTACTGTGGCCCTCTTGGTCCTTATCTTCAGTACCACTCTCGATAGTAATGGTATCGGTGGGAACACGTATAGAAGGTCTGAGTTCCAAGCGATCATGAACGCATCCCCCATCGATTCCCCAGACTGGACCTGGAGCAGAATTTGGGGCATTTTGTGTTGCATGCTGTCATGATAGGTCCATTTGTGGGTAACCCCAAGTTCAGAATATGTCTTCCAGGATGGCATTGTTTAACTCCCATTCGTGATCGAGGAAAAAACATCTGCTGAGCTCGTCTGCCATGATGTTCTGGCATCCAGGTAGGTAGGAGGCTGAGATATGGATATTGTGCTGGATGCACCAATTCCAGAGTCTCATAGCCTCGGTACATAGTGAATGCGATCAGGCTCCCCCTTGTCTGTTTATGTAAAACCTACAGGCGATGTTGTCGGTCATTACTCTGATGTTTGAGTTTCTTATGAGCTCCCCATCCAATAAGGGATGCATCCGTTGTGAACATAAGCGATGGAGAATCTTGTGTGAACGGGATACCCGAGAACAGACTGTGTAGTTGAGTCCACCAGGTTAGTGAGTCCTTGACCTTGGGGGCATAGTTAATCGTATGTTTAACCTGTGTTTGTTTGGTCTGTAAATGGTTGCTAGCCAGCCTTGTAGGCAGGGCATGTACAATCATGCATGTTTGACACAAACGTGAATGCCGCCATGTGGCCCAGTAGTTGTAGCCATTCGTGGGCAGTGATCTGTGGACTGTTCCGAACTGTGGATATGAATGGTTTTATAGTGTCGAATCTGTCTTGTGGAAGTGACGCCATTGCCATCCTCGAATCGAGGTGAGCGCCGATGAACTTCAGTCATTGAGTTGGTTCTATTGTAGATTTGTTTATGTTTATTTGTAGGCCAAGACTCCGGAAACAGTGTACGGTCATTTGAGTGGATTGAATGGCGTCCGATTGGGTGTGTGACTTCAGGAGACAGTCGTCCAAGTAAGGAAAAACTATTATTCCTTGTTTTCTCAGGTGCACTGTTACTACCACAAGAATCTTTGAGAAAACGTGAGGCGCTGTTGACAGGCCGAAAGGTAGAACCTTGTACTGATCGTGGTCTGTGCCCAAAGTAAATTTCAGAAAACGTCTGTGGGCAGGTTGTATAGTGACGTGAAAATAAGCATCCTGCAGGTCGAGGGCTGAAAACCAGGCCCCCTGCTTCAGCACTGGTATTACTGTTGTTAAGGTAATCATCCTGAATCTTTGCTTTTTCACAAACTTGTTCAATCACCTGAGATCAAGGACTGGTCGCCACCTCCCACTTTTCTTTTGTGTTAAAAAATAGTGGGAATAAAACCCCTTCCCTCTGTGTTGAGCAGGGACAGTCTCCACTGCCCCTAATTGGAGGAGATGTTCTACCTCTTGGTGAAGCAAGTTATCATGAGAGAGGTCTCTGAAGCGGGAAGGGGAGAGGGGTGGGTAAGGGGTATAGACAGGAAAGGAATGGTAT